CTCAGATTAGTCTGCATTGATTTGGTTCGTAGTTATGTAAGAAAAAGAGTTCAAACTTATTCAAACGTAGACATTGGCGAAGCTATTAAATCAATTAAAGATGATAAAATGACTATTAATGAAGCATCAGCGAAATATAACGTACCGATTAGTACATTATACAATCGTCTATCAGGACACAATGGCTCTAGTCCACGTGGTGGCACAGCAATATTGAGTAAAGAAGAAGAGTCTCATCTAGTTGGAAAATCCTCATCGATCTTCTACATTCTGGCTAATTATTTCTACAAAATGCAGCTCGGTTTTACAAAACAGTTGGAAAATCCTCATCGGCTTCCTAAATTGTGGGAATAATTTATGGAACATGCACCTCGACTTTCTAGAAAGTTGGAAAATCCTCATCGGTTTTTATACATTGCGACGAACTATTTGTAGAAAATTCTGTGGGAAATTATTTACACAAAATGCAGCTCGATTTTCAAGAAAGTTGAAAAATCCTCATCGGTTTTCTACATTGTGGGAAATTATTGAAAATGCAGCTTTTTCTGGCAAGTTGGAAAATCCTCGTCGATTTGATACATTTTGGGCATTACTTATAGAAAATGCAGCTCGATTTTCAAGAAATTTGGAAAATCCACATCATGCTTCTACATAGTGGGGAAGTATTTATAGAAAATGCAGCTCCATTTTCTAGAAAGTTTAAAAGTCCTCATCGATTTCCTACATTCTGGCGGAATTATTTATAGAAAATGCATCTCGATTTTCAAGAAAGTTGAAAAATGCTCATCGGCTTTCTAAATTGTGGGAATAATTTATGGAACATGCATCTCGATTTTCAAGACAGTTGCAAAATCCTTATCCATTTTCTACATTGTGAGGAATTATTTATAGAATATGCAGCTGGATTTTCCACAAAGTTGGAAAATCCTCATCGATCTTCTACATGGTGCAGAATTATCTATAGAAAACGCAGCTCGACTGTCTAGAAAGTTGGAAAATCCCCATCGGTTTTTATACATTGCGGCGAACTATTTCTAGAAAATCCTGTGGGGACTTATTTACAAAAAAAGCAGCTGGATTTTCAAGAAAGTTGAGAAATTCTTATTGGTTTTCTACATTGTGGGGAATTATTTGTAGAAAATCCATTGGGGACCTATTTGTACAAGATGCAGCTCGATTTTTAAGAAAGGTCGAAAAGCCTCATTTTCTACATTATTTGAAAGTCGATTTTCGGTAATCTGGAAAATGCGTGGGAGTTTTATATATAGTTTTTGTATGGATTTTGTATAAATAATTTCCGACTTTACAATGTAGACCATTTTCAAAATGTCGGGTCGTTAAGAAAGCTTTCTGACGATCCAGTCTATGGAAAACCGTCTGTCAGGTTGTTCAAAATTTTAAGAATGCATCCATTGAATTCGTCATGATTTTTAGCCTATTTGACGACGTCATTTCTATTAAATATGGACGAAAAAATCGAGGTTTAGTCGAAAATCGCCATGCCGCTTTGTATAGCGAAAAAACGAAACTTAATTTCTTCTGTAATGCAAAATGGAAACCTCTAAACGTATAACTTTGTAGCGTGTGAGTTGGCGAATGTTTTGATGTATGATACGAGGGGTTACGTGGCAACGCCTTAGGCTGTACAGGTTTGGGAACGAGACCTTGCTTTTTCTATAGGTGTCTCTTTGACGGTTAATGAAGACCGAGAAACCAGGTCTAGCAAAACGAAAATACATCCTTCCAGCTCCGTTTTTTGCGCTGATTCCGAATATCTGGTTGGAAAAAAAATAGACTTAGGAAATGGCTTTTTCCAAAGTCAAGGAAAATTGCGATTTTTGACATCTTCGCAATATTTTAATTTTTTCTACCTGAAAAAGGGGTCGAATCCATCAAACATTCGAATTTTTTCTGTTTTGTTCTTCTAACTTTTCGAAAGTATTTTTTTCGAGCTTTAAAAGTACGTATCGCTTTTTTTATTTTGCTTTGTTACTGAGAAAATTCGTTTTTTCTACATCAGA